GTGAGGGCCCGAGGCGGCCCCGCCGCTCTGCAGGACGGGGGCGGCGGGGCCGGGCGCGCGCAGGGCCCCCCGGGGGCGAGGGGTGGGCGGGCGCCGCCCGGCGGGACCCCGGCCAGCGCAGGGCTGGCGTCCTTCCGGCCGTCTTGCCGCCCTGCGCAGCCTGCCCTGCAGGGCTGTCGTGGCCGAGGGGCAGGAGCATGCGCGCCGCCTCGCCCTCGGTGTTGCGCGTCTGCCCGTTGCGTTCCGGCCTTTCCCTCTTGCGGGCAGAGCGAGGCGGCTTCCCGGACCCGGTGGTCGCGGCGGCTTCGCCGCCCTGCTGCACCGGGTAGAAATGCGGAGCGCACAGCCGCGGCAGGGAGCGCCCCCTTTCCTCCAGGGCCGCCCACCTGCTCCCTTCTCCTCCGCGTTTCCCAGCCCCAAGACCGCGGTGCATCGGGGCAGCGCCGCCCCCATTTTCTCCTCGCAGCAACCTCACCAGGTAGGCTGGGCTGAGCCGCTCTGCCGTCCCCGTGACTCAGTGGGCGTTTGAGCCTAATTCGTCTTAGTCCTGGCCGGAGTCGCTAACCGCTGGTTTTAACTGGGGGATCTACACACCGTGGAAGGGATTCAGGCCTCGTAGGAGCTGATGGGGGGCATTTTGTATTTTGGGCTTCTCCTCCCCGCTTGCAGTGGTTTCCTTCAGCCAGCAGGGAAAGGGAGTCAGGAATTGTTCTTCTAGAGGAAAAATTCCTGTATCCTATTACTGTCGTTGCATTGCAGCTGTATCTGGCCCCTTTTCCTCTTTCGAAGCACTCGAGAGAGCTTGCAAAGCTCCATTTTATCCTAGCTTCTCCCAAAAACCGTTCCAAGATGCCAGTAGTGAGACAATATAGAAAGGCTTTCAATAAGTAAATAAAACACAAAGGAAAGTGCAGAGCGGGATCTGGTAGGAATGCCCTGTGCCCACGGGAAGGCCCCTATTCGGTCACCGGGAGTGGGCAGAATGCCGTTTGTGGGTGGTTGGTCTCCTGGGCCTTCCATGGACTTGCTCTATAGAAAGGATTCTTGCTCTGTAACGTTTATTTTAGAACTGCAAATTTCAGATACTGATCTTTAATATTCTTCACCAAATCTTGTTCTCCATTATTCCTTGGTTTTCCCAGGGGTTCGCCCACTTTTTCAATAGGGGGCCAGCTGAAAGGCAGTGGCCACGGCGTGGGCCAGTGAGGTGGCATCAGCTCGCTCCCTCGGACATCTCCCAGCGAGTCCAAACCATCTCCGAGGGAGCAAGCCACCGCCTCCCTGCCCACGCTGCCCAGGCTGAATGAATGGGCCTGGCGGGCCTGGTCCCTAACCAAGGAGAGACCCATGGCTTATCCTTTAGATTTTATTTATAAATGTTTATTTATTTATTTATGTGAGCCGTCCTGAGGCTATAAGCGATGGGATGGCATACAAAAACTCTAAATAAATAAATAATAAATTTCCAGAACATACCAGCTTTCATATTAATTTGACTGCCCCAAATATTTCCATTTTTTTCCAGGGACATCCTTGTGGTGAAGCAGCAATATAGCCAGATCTTTGGGGCTTTTATTTGTGGGAGCGGGGGAAGTGTCTGAGTCTTCACAGCGGAGAACATAATAGATGTTTCAAGCGAATCTCGCCCACCCCTCCCAAGAAATGCCACCCATCTACCCAAACTCTGGCCTCCTCTCCAAATCTTCCTGCCAAGAGCATGTCCGAATCAGCCCCCGGGCTCAGTCAGTGTCTTGGTCTCAGCCCCCCACCCCCCCACCCTGTCTTTCACAGAGAAGCAGCGCTTGCGTGTGGAACAGGCGGCTCCCCCGGGGCCACGCTCTGCTCCAGAAGCATCCCTGCACTAGCCGGCCCCGCGCTCAGCCCAGGCCCACTGAGGAGACGGCTGGCTCCCGTTCAAATGCCAGACGAGCGGCGGGGTTGATGCTCCAGAGGCAGAAGAAGAGCTGGGAGGCTCCCTGGCCGAGTCTGAGCACAGACAAGACGTTCCTCCAGCTGCCCCAGAGCGGAAGTCCACTTTGTGGCGGGACGAGTTCACACAGTGACTTGGGGCAGGGGTCAGAAGCGGCCCGCTGGAGCTCCCCAGATGGCCAGGAGGCCTCTGCCTGGGGCCACCCTGGGGGCAAACCTAGAGGAATAGAACTGGAAGGGGCCAGAAAGCCAACGGTTAAACCACACGCATGCAGGACGCCAAATTTCGCCGTCCCCTCGGACGGCTGTCCAGGCGCTTTTTAGGGAAGGCCGATCCAGGGCGTGTGAGGGGCGGGAAAAGTGCAGCTCCACCAGGGTTGTCAGGCATCATCCGGGGCCACTGCCTTTGCTGCCTGGGGCTGATGGCAGGTGGGAGTCCAGCCCCTCTCAAGGCACGAGGAGCGTCCTGCTGTCCGTCAGCCACGGAGGCACCTGGGGGCTGCTCCTGCCTGCTGGACCGCAAGACCCCTCCCAGCATCTTCACCCGGGACCACCACAACAGGCTGTGACACATCTGCCCGTCCCACTGTGGCCCATCCCGGGGGACAGGATTCACCCCCGATTCTGCGAAGAATCCCAACCGGGGAGAGGGAGGGATGGGGATTCCCAGCCAAGCCCTGCACACATCCCCTTCTGCATCCGGACGAGGCTGATCTGTTTCCTTTTATTGGCAGTGAAAGGAAAAGAGCCCGAAACGGAGCCCCAGCAACCGGCCGAAGTGCTCTGCACGCCGCAGCCACTCAGCCCTGCTCGTGGCGGGAAACGGGGCCGTTCCGTGGCCAGCGAGATGAGCGGGACTGTGGCAGCCACGCAGGGACGCTCAGGACTTGATGGTGCTGCCGATGTATGATTCCAGAATGAAGATGGTTTCATCGACCTGGATCTCGCTGGCGTCGATCCTTGGATAAGGGAGGGGAAACGGAACGTTCGAGGCAAGCTGCCTTCTTTCGGGGAGTGGAGTGATTTCCCACTGGAGGCTTTTGCAAGAGGCTCAGAACTGCTCTCAGTTGCATCAATGAATAGCCACCATTTTTAAAAGGCAAGTGCTTTCGACAAAGTGACGCACACTGCCAGCTACCCCCTTGTGGGAAAGGGAAGGGGCAGGCCTCTCCTGCAGGGTGCAACCGAAGGAGCCCGCCTCTGTCAGCCTGCTGCCCCCGAGGAGTGCTGGACCAGCCCTCCCACCCCGCCACGCAGCGTGGCCAGGGCAGTCCCGTGGCCCCCGTCTCCTGCGTGCGCACACCTTCCTTTCCTCTTGCCCAGCCAGGCCCTTGCAGCTGGGAGGCCCGACATCCTGCAGGCTGGTGCACCCAAGCCGTGGCCGGCCCCCAATCCCTCTCCCCCCGCCCCCCGGCGACCAAGTGTCAAGCAGGCACAGCTCATGCACCCTTGTCCCCCGCCCCTGCAGCTGGCGCACTCGGGAGGCACGTGGGGACCTCCTCCGCCCCCCCCCCCGCGCCGCCAGAGAGCCGTCCTGCTCACTTGTTGACGTCGTGCTTCAGGCTGTCCAGCTGCTGCCGCTCCGGGGCGGTGACCATCTCCTCGACCTCCTGCAGCTGGGCCTCCCCCGTGCCCGTGGCCTGCATCGAGGCCAGGATGGCCTCCACCCGCTGGGACTTCTCCAGCAGACGCCTGGCGCAGGACAGAGGCTGCCCGTCAGCTACACCGGCCCCGGGCTGCCCGGGAGGGTCAGCGCCGGCCCAAGCCGCTGAGAGGCCCCGAGGGGAGGGGCAGGCGCCCCAGCCGCCGGGTGCTCTGCTGCGCGAGCCCGGAGAAGCGTTCTCGCAGGACGGCCTGCCAGGGGGTGCCAGGGGAACCGGTGGCATCAGACCCGCCCGCGAGGGCAGGCCCTGGCGCCCAGCCTGGGGACGGAGCCCTGAGTGGTGTCGCCTGGGCTGCCACTGTGGTCCCCCACTCAGACCACCAGGCAACTCACCGGTTCTCCTTGGTCTCGTGCTGCCGCCTTTCTATCAGATTGGCCACGCTCTGCAATGAAGCGAAAGAGGGGTCCTTGCACAGGCCGGCGATGGGTGAAAAGGGAAAGCGAGAGGGCCGCACGCAGCAGGACGCGGGACACGCACCTTGTAGCAGCGGTGGAGCAGCATCCGAGCAGACGAGAGCGTGCTGACGGTGTACAGGTAGAACGTACGGGACGGGGCGTGATCGGGGGTCTTCGGGATTTCCTGTTATGCCAGAGAGTACAGGAGAACGTTCATTCTATTCATTAGATTAGTAAATAACAACATCATTACAGCTGCAAAATGTAAAAAAATCAAGTGCTTAGAGAGGGACCTGAAGGCAGAGCTTTTAACAGCTGAAGGTGGTGAGAAAGAGCCTCTGAAAAGCAGCTGGTTTGGTTCCCTCTCATGCAGGAGGGAAGGAGGCCTCTTTTAAGACAGGGCCTGCCGTGACACATTTGTATTATTAGAAAAAAGGGGAACTGCTTCTTCCTGGTTTTTAACTAAGCATCAGTGTATTAATCTCCTGAAGTTTCTTTAATGAGGTCGCATCCCTCAAGAATGGTTCCTTTGAGCCTTCAAATGCTTCTTGTAGTTCTTGCAAGCCTTATAAAGGTTGAGGTATATTGAAGACAGAGGAACTAAGTGGGCGGAAGACCCCAACCCCAAACAAGAGTTTTTAACATGGGGCTTCCTGAGCTGCAGTGCAGTCTTCATCTGCATGGAAAAGTGGCCCGCCAGGGATGCAGCGGGTTTGCGCCACCCCCAGGCCCCCCTGCCAGCAGAGGCAGCTTTTGCTCCCCAAAGGGCCACCCCCAAGCACAGGATATTACCTCTTCTGTGCAGGAATCGGTGCCAGGAATCTGCCACTTGTATGGCAGAGAATAAACCAGGGGACATACTGGGCCTCCTCCCAGGCTGCTGCCCCTCCTGATCTGCACTACGCAGGGCTTGGCCCACTGAATCTGAGCGGGGCTGCTGGGGACAGAGGCCGCCCTCGCGGGCCCAGCCCGGCTTTCTGCTTTGCTATCCTGCTCCGCTGCCCTGCACACGCAGAGCAGCAGCCGTGACTTGCCGAAGGGCTGCGACCCCGCAAGGGATCTGCTTCTATCTCGGTTCCTCGAGGTTTCAAAGGCGTGCGATGTTCATGCTGACTCGCATGCAGACCGCGCAGGTCTTGCAAGGAAGGGCCATGCTGAACGGCTCTGGCGTGGCGCAGCGCTGTGGCCGGCCAGGAGAGGCTCCGGGCAGCGCGACCAGGGCCGTACCTGCAGGGTCACCAGGTTAGCCGACAGCATCTTGTACATCATCTCCTTCGCTTCCTTGGCAGGGATCATGGCGAAGTCTTCTATCTGCTTCTGCTCCAGGTGCTTCTTCCTCAGGAGCAGGCGGAAGATGCGGGCACAGCGGGACCCAAATCTCGATTGGGGAGAAAAGTAAAGCAGAGGGGCCTGTCATGGCCAGCCGCACGCTCTTTTCCCTCTTGTAAGCAGAGCAGTCGGCCACTCACACACTGTCCAGCTCAGAGGGAGCATCCGCTTCCGTTTCCATTTTCTAGACCCATAGCAATGGCGGAAAATGCATTTCAGAGTGTACAGTGAAGCAAGACCTTCAGAAATAACCTTGGGGGGGGGGGCGTGCATTCTGTCAAAAGGGGTGGGGAGGAAAGAAAGAGCTGCCATTTGAATCTCTGTTAACTTTGCTCTGTGGAAGGACATACGTAGCTCTTACAAAGGAGGCAAACTGCGTGTCTTGACTAGGAAGCCTCCAAGTGGCTCATTTAAACATGGCGCTGTCTCTGCAAAAACGCACTTGTTTCCCCAGCCGGCTCCCACTGGCCGGCCGCTTTGCTCGCATCTTCCAGAGCAGCTGGTGAAGTGTTTGCGCCCCAATCGCTAAGTGGAAGGCGGCGGCATTTGTGCGCGTCGCACTGAAGGGGCCGTGCTCAGGCGGATTCAGAATTTGGGGGAAGAATAGTTTCAGCCCCTTCCTTCCTTCGGTGCCTCAGATCTAAACTCTTGGGACAGGGAATGGGGGAAGGATACAGGTAGCCACACCGGGCATTCGTAGGAGAAATACCCCAGCGTGTCAGGGAGACGGAGGCTCAAAAGGAACAAGGCACCCAAGACCTGGGAAAAAGCAGGAAAGGCACTCGGGCAGGCAGGCAGGCAGGCACAGAGGGGCTTCGGTGGCCTCCACTGAGGCGAGGAAATGGCATGCGCCGCGGCCGAGAGCGACTCGACTCCGGCGAGGGCCCATCGTGAGCAGCAGGCACGGTGCCCCTTGGGGACAGATCGGCCCTCGGTGGGGCGCGTGCGCAGTGCCGACTGCTGCGGCCGCATTAGACCACCAAGCTGCCCCCCCGGCTCGCATCGGAAGGCCCAGCTGGGTCAGAGCCGGGGTGCCCCCAGGCCACATTCAGGGCCCGCAGCGGCTCATCAGCTCCCCTGCAGGACCGGAGTGCGACCGCACCCCTTCCCCATGCTCCCCAGCAGCTGGAGTAGAGGCAAGCTGCCCCGATCCTGGAGGGACCACTGAGTCGCGAGGACCCGCAGCCATGGAAGCCCCCTCCTCCGTGGATTTGCCCCGCCCCGCTTCGAAGGCACCCAGACCGGTGGCTCCTTCTTGGGGAAGTAAATTCCAGAGCTGAGCTGTGCCCCCAGTGAAGGGGGACGCACGGGGGCCCTCAGAGCCACTTCCTGGTCCCAAATCTCGCCGAAGCCGTTCGGGCAAGGCGCCTTTTACCTCTCCTGAACGATCGATTCCAGCGTCGCGGTGGCCAGAGACGCCAGGGCCTTGTGGAGGTCTGTTCAGGGAAGGTTAGGGAAACATGGAAAGAAAGCCCGAGGGAGAGCAGAGGGGCTGCAACTGACGCCCCAGGCACAGCTTTTTAAAGCCTGCTTTGGAATGACGGCGGAATGGCAAGTCCCAGGCTGGCTTCTGAGTGATGGGTTGGCCCCCCCTGGATTTCATCAGGACACACTGAGGCCGTTGGGTCACCTGCCCTCGGGTAGCTGCACGAGGCAAGTCAAAGGTGGGCCGCCATTTTCACACCCCCTTCTGCTCCACCAGTGAAATCTGATGGCACCGTGATATGTGGCGGAGAGGCCAAAAATCACACAGCCAGAAGCCGCCCAGAGACCCTGATACTGCTTCAAAAGGGGGGGGGGGTTAAACCCTGCCTGCCTCGTTGTAATGGAACGCAGGCCTCCCCCCGCCCCAGTGTTGCATCTCACTGCAATTCTGAGGGGACTGTGCCCCCCCCCCAGCTTCTGGGGGACGGGAATGAATTGGCGACCGATCCAGAGAGGCTGCCCACCCCGGACATAAATGGCCAGGCCTAGAGTTGCAGGGCACCGTCATGGCCACCTTCAGCCAGGCTTTGCCCCGAGCCCCTCGTGGGTCCCCAGGGGCAACTCAATCCGTACCCAGGAGAGCAGGCAAGGAAGCATTCCAGCGCTGGGGGGGGGGGGGGGGGAACGGCCACGCTGCTGCAGGAGCTGCCTGTCCTCATTCCAGCCCTGAGCCCTGCAGGGCCACCGTCCCCTCTCTCTCCCCAGAGGGACCCTAAGAAAGCGAGGAACCGCTGACCAGGCCCATCCGGCCTGGCAACCGCTGCCCACGGTGCCCCACCTAGCAAGTGCCCAAGCGTGCGAAGGGGGAGCAGCCCTCCCGCGGGCGCCTTGCGCCATTCGGGGGCTGGCTGTGCGTGCACACGAAGGCCGCACCTTACGCTCGGCCTCCCACCTGCCAACCTCCCTTTTAGTGGCCATCGCCACGCCACCCGGCACTACGTCCCTCGAGCTCCTGTGCCTTAATGACCCTCGCGGCAGAGGGGATGCTGGCAGATGCCATTTTGCTAAAAAGGCGGGAAAAGTAAAGCCTTCGCCAGCAGCCGCCTCTTCTCAGTGTATCTCATCACCAAAAAAGAAAAAACCACCTACCATGCCAAAGCCAGTGTGGTGCAGTGGTTAAGAGCCTGGGACTGGAACTCAGGCGATCCGGGTTCGAGTCCCCGCTCAGCCATGGAGCCCACTGGGTGACTTTGGGCCAGTCACAGACTCCCGGCCCAGCCTACCTCACAGGGTTGTTGTTGTGGGGATAAGATGAGAATGATGTGAGCTGCCTTGAGCCCTTTGTAGGAAAAAGGCAGGATATAAATGCGGGGGAAAAAAGGCCCAACTCCACCTCAGATCAAGGGAGGCAGGGTAGCAGGGATGCCGCCATGTTGACCTCCAGCTGAGACCGGTGCTTCAGGCCTTAAGAGTCACCTGCCCCCCTTGAAGGGACATGTACAGAAGGGGCTTCCAACTGTGGGGTGGAAAAAGGGCTGGCTCTGAGGGGTCCGAGAACGGCTCCTTTGCCACGGCTGCTGCAGCCCCCGGTTCTCTTCCTAGGGTGGACCAGAAAGGATACTGATAACGTACATTCCACCACCGCTGTCCCCCGATTTCCCAACAAACTCCAGCTAAGGGAGAAAAAAAGGGCAAAACACATCATGTCTATTAGGTCTGAGGAAAAGGGAATAAAAAGTACAGACTGTTTGAGAGACATTTTTCAAAATAGTACTACTGTTAATAATCATCACCATCATTCATAAGGTGGATTACTTACCGGATCATCTGCTAACAGGGTAAGATACTGGTCAAGAATTTGCTTGGAGATGTTGTAGCCAGCTGGGAGTGACCGGAATATCTATTAAGAAAATAATCAAACCCTCTGCAGCCTTTTTTATAAAATGCTCTTGAGCCTAAGCAGAGAGCAGGTGACTAATAGGACTGCAATAGCCTCTGCAAGAGGCTTTGCAGTGCAGAGCCTCTTGTACAAAACACACACAGGAACGGCTGTTAGCACAGACTGCCGGCTGCCAGGGAAAACGCTCCCACAGGGTAAAGGAAGAAGGCCCAAGTCGTCCACAGAAGCGAGGCGGGCCCAAGGGCAGGGCCGAAGGGCAGCCCACGGCCTCGCATCCCCCCAGCGCTGGGCTCTGGCGGGAGGAAGGTGCGCTCGTGGACCCTCGGATGTGGTCGACAGCAGGCCGAGTCTGAGCCACCTTGCCACACACAGACCGGGCGGGCCTGGAGGCGAGGCCCGGTGCAGCCACGGAGTCGCCTGGCCGCAGCTGCGCTCTCCCTCAGGCCCGCAGCCACTTCGGGGCAAGTTTTCCCTCGGCCTGCACTCCCAGCGGCGGCGAGAAGCTCGGCCCCTCGAGGCGGGCAGGGCAACGCGTGTGCCGGTCCTACTGAGGACACAGCGAGGTTCCTCCGGGGGGGCCCAGAGTCCAGGGCAGTCTCGGCCATGCCGCGTCACGTGCTCCGTTGAAACCCACTCCGGAAGAGGCAGAGCCCAGAGCCTGCTGCTGCTAGGCCTGAGCTGCTCAAACGCGCCGCAGCAGCACGGCTCGGGCAGACGCCCGCCTCAGCCGCCCAGTCATTTCGGATGAGCTTTGCCAACGAGGCGACCTGAAAAGGGATACCTGGCGCAGGAGCAGCTGCGCGGCTCTTTGCGCCACAGCTGGCGCACGGCCAGAGTCGCAGCAGCTTGGCCGTGTCTTCCAATTCCTGCCCAGGACCCAGACTCACCCACTGGAAGCCCAAGGGGGCACTCACCTCGTTGGAGGAGAGCGGCTGTGTGAGTGGCGCGTTGGAGGAGGTGGTGACCTCACTCATTCGCAGCATCGTCCGCACGATTTCACTGCTGGTCTGTTGGAGCAGGAAGACGGAAAATGTGCACATGATTAACGTTTATAAACTACCTCATTTACTAAATTATCGCCTCTTGAAGACACATTTGTTTTCCTGGGCTTTCCTTTACTTGTAATGCATCATGACGCAGGGCTGCTTTAGGGTTGTAATGTTCTAAACTTTTTACTGCTGTTATTTCTTCCACTGTTTTATGTTGGCTTTATACTGCAGTGCGTATTTATAAATACATTAACTGAAATGGCTTTAAGGCCTTGGGACATTAATCTGTATACAAGTTGTGCGCAAGTATGCGTGGATAACGAAAAGCCGTGGGGGGGGGGGGCAGCTTAATGCCATCCAAGGATGGGGCACGATCAAGGATCAGCCCAGTCTTCGCAGAGGTGCAGCCCTTTCTGGAGGGGGCTGCATCCTGGTCCTTGGGCTGGCTCCCTACTGGCCACCAGCCCGGGGGCTTCTTTCTCAGAGACGTCCCACCCCCCGGGCCGCCACCTCAGGGCCTGGGCCAGGCTGATCAGGCATGGCAAAGCGGCAGCCCGCCAGGAGGGAGGGGCAGGCCACCAGGGCGGGGGCTCCCGAGGAGAGTTGGGATACCTGGTCCATCCGGTTGGCTACGGCGCTCACGATGGCCTGGTCCCGGAAGTGCTGGTGGAAGCGGTCAATGCTGACCTGCCAGTAGATCCCGTCGTCTGGGGGAGGCTAAAGAGCGGCAACAGAGACACGATGGGCTTGGGGGGCGGGGACGGCGCACGGCAAGACGCTCTCCCGATCGAAGTGCCACGAAATGCTCAGTGCTGCCTCTTGCGCCCCGCACGTTCATCAAGCGAGTCCACGGGAAGTGGCTCTGCGCGGAATGTGCGGCGGGTTTTTCATTCTGCGCTGCTGCTTCCATTCCTGCTAGCCATGGGACGGCACGAGGGCAGCGGCCGTCTCCCCGCTGCCCTCAGAGGTGAGGCCTGCATGCCACCCGGCTGCTCTGCAATATGGACTACCAGGACACCGTGCCGGAAAAATTAAAGTAAAAATGAAATAGAAGAGCAGCCGCTGAGGGTCTCCTGCGCCATTTTAGTGGTGGAATCAGACATGCCAACAGACATAGCAGGCTCTTCTTACAGCACAATCCTAGGCACCTTATTCCGCGTTCCAGAAGACTCGCTCCCTGGAAAAAGGGTGTGGGGCGGCAGGCTGCAGTGATGTGGGGAAGGCTAGCAGGCAGGCCAGCCGGTCTTACCACACCCCTGCCCTGAGTCTAAGAGCTGCTCTGGCATCCCAGATCCACTACTCCATGTTGCCTCATGGCAAGAGTTGCTCTGGAGTAGCAGAATCACTTAGCGTGCCTCTTACAACCTGAGACATGAAACCGCCAGGAATTTTGCTCTTCCTTTCGGGACTAAGGGGAATGCATTTACGTGTCCACCCACAGAGGGGGCCCATTGCCCCACACGGTAAACTCAGTACCTCCTTGCTGTCCAAGTCCTGCTTCGATCGCTTGGCCTTCCGTTCCCCGTCTTCTTCGGTATTATCGGAGTGCCTCCTCTTGCCCTTCCCTAGCAGCCGAAAGGCAGAGGTCACTGTGGGCAGCAGGAGGGCCACCGTCCTGGGCCTGGGGTCTGCACTTAGATGCTCGGCCCGGGGCAGGGTCCGTGCAGCGTGCCCGCCATTTTGCTTAGGGCAAAGCCAGACAACCGCGTACAAGTGTGAAAAAATGTCTGGGGAACTGATAAAAAATACTGTGCCACCTGAAGGCCCGGCAGCACGCCATTTGTTTTAAGTGTATCGCACATACCACAGATACTTTACGCGAAGTCCGTTTTTTCAAGATGAGAAGTATCTCCCTCCAATAATGCAATTTAACCATTTGTGAAATAACTCTAGGCATCAATACACTTTACTGCTTCTGGACACCAGCAAAATTGTTAATGTGTACTTGGGGTACCTTACACTGCTTACAGGTATTAATTCAGTTTTTGTCCAGTAATACCAGACCTATCCATTTTATTAATTTTGGTAAAGAAGACACTAACCTGCTAATGAATAACAAATATTCTACGTACAAAGCTGTTTTATACTCAGACTGCTGAAGCACAAAGTTGAAAATATCTTTGCTCTGTCAATCCTGTTTTGTACTTCCTCCAAAAACAAAACTAAACTAAACTAAACTTGAATTTCATGTGGAAACACTTGTGACACAGTTGAGAGATATAAAATACTTATCTATTTTTAAAATTCCTGTGGAAATGCAATTTTTCCAAGGTCACAGAGATAAACCACCAGTATAATTTGTCAAACACTTTTTCAGCAGCCAGTGCTGTCAAATGCATCCAGGTTGCCTGCAAACCTGAAACTACCCGCTCCCTGAGGTCAGGATAAACTAAAGTAGCCTTTGCTTGCAGAACTGCTGTCAATGTTTTAGCACAGCCTTTCTATTTTCACGATTCATGTGGTCTTTGCCAGGGTGAGGGATAACAGATATATAAGCACTACAACAGCGGCCAGCCTCAGTCTCCTGCCCCCTCACCTATGAGGTTCAGCTTTGGAACTGCAAACATGTCCTTCTCGTTAAACACCAGCACGGGTGCAGGTGGAACCGGGATGTCCGATGACTCTGGCTCTTCAGAAGCCGATGCACATCTCTGGACAAAGTGCGTGTCTGCCAGGTGTATGAAGGTGTTGGAGACCTCGCCATAATCCATCACTTTACCATCTGAAGAAAAGGAAATAGGCTGCTCAAGGCCTGAACGTTGGGGCTCCCCAAGAGTGGCTTTCCTGAGGTGCACCTCACCTTCCATGGTTTCTGTCAGCCGGTCAGCTACCTTCTTCACGACGGCACTCATGGTCATTTTGCCATTGAGCAGCAGCTCCTCCACAATCAGCTCGCCGGTGTCGCTGTAGAGGGTCTTGGCCGTGTAGATGTACCGGGGGTAGCGGAGGATGCGCAGCACTTGGCTGCACTGGGCCTCGTACTCCACCAAGCCTCGCTTCTGCAGCTGGAATGTCACCAGGTTGTGCTGGATTAAGACACAGAGGGCCTTCCGGACCTGGAAGGGCAGAGGGAAAGGGGGTGTCGACTGCGGATGCTACCTCCTATCCCTGGCGGCTCAATATTCAACAGTGAGCAAAAGACTTTGAGGAGGAGGGAAAGGAACAGAGGATGAACTTCATGAAATGTCTCTCTGACCATGGCAGCAGTGCTGTTAATGCACCTTTTCCCTCTGGGCACTTTGCGCCTATCAGTATCTCTGTGCGCGATGGGCTCAGAACACTTCCGTATCTGATCTCAGCAACCCTCACAACAGCCCTCTAAGGCTGAGTTGTGTTACTACCCCACTGAATCATGGATTGACAAAGCGAAAGTCTTACCGCAGGGATCCAGAGTTCTCAGGATCCCCTAAGCCTTCCTTTTCCATGAATTCTGGCATCCTTGGTGCAGGCCTGGTCTGCTAGGGATTTCAGGGCTGAGGAGCAATTTGAACCTAGCCATCTGCTCTCACTTGCACCCACGTCAGCTCAGCATTTTCCTCTTACAGTGGACAGGAAAAGGGCACGCTGCAGTCCAGACTTGGAAGAGGCCTGGCTGGGGAAAGCTTCTGCAGGATCTTGTCCTGCTTGGTTGCGAGTGCCTCGAGCTCAAGACTGGTGTGGGGCATGGGAAGACAGGCAATGCATGTGCTATCCTGGCCCTCTTTCAAGAGTGGATTGCTTCCCCCCCCGCAACTTTTCTCCACTCACAGCACATTAAGTTGGATGAGGCTGATACTCAGGCCCGAAGTTACCCAAAGTGATCTTCAGGGCCAAGCAGAGACTGCTCTCAGGCTAATTAATATTCTAACTGCAGCATCCTGGTTCTCCAGGGCTCAGCCATCATTTAAAAGTATCCCTTTTAAATAAAATTATGCAGTGTACCTGGTCGAGTGACATCCCAGTGTCATGGGCTATCATGCGTAAGGGCTGGCTGCCCATACGAATGAGGTGTGTCCCGATCTTTTCCACAATCTCACCAAAATGTTCACAGAGCAGGAGGGAAGACAGTTTGATCTCAGCCTGGGTCATCTTGCCAGGAAATGTAGCTCAGTACAGACTTATGCAATGAGAGATCACAGCTACCTACCCCTGCAATTGCACTGGAAGATAACAAATAAAGATTCAATACAGTTTAATTTCAAAAAATGAGTTTTTCAGTCACAGTAATACCAATATTACCAACTCTTCACCTGTTGGAAGTAAGGAGCCACAAACTGGGAAGCCCTCTGCCCCATCACCATCTTCCAGGGATGCTTGCTGAAATCAAGTCCCAGGAGCCCTGATGGGTTCTCTTGACTAGGATCCCCCTAGTTTTTACCCACAGGGGGTTCACCTCCTACTGCTCCCCTCAAATCTCTCTACATGAAGTTTTATCCTGTAATCATATGGCCTTCTCTCCCCAGCCCATACATTCCCTTTTATGCATAGGGTTGATTTTAGAAGACAAGACACACAGGCACTTCAAAGCATCTGCACATCAGGAAGTACAAATGCTAGAGCCAGAGTGGCATGGTGTTGAGCGTGTTGAACTGGGGCTCGGGAGATCTGGGTTCTAGTCCCCATTAAACCGCGAAGTTCACTGGGTGACTGGACCAGCCACTCCCTCGATGCCTGGCCTACCTCACAGGCTTGTTGTTGGGAAACTTAAACTGAGCCATGTAAATTGTCCCGGGTTCCTCATAAGAGGGGGAAAAGTGAAATATAAATGCAATGTAATGATGATAATACTATAGGCCTGAGCGCCCCCCCCCCCAATCCTATATTTTCTATTCCTAGCACCACCCTGCCAGAGCAGGGTTGGGGGGAAGCTCATTCGAGCTGCGGCCACGAGTCTTTCATTCGGAGCTCCCACATCCTTTGGAGGCCCCCTGCCCCAAGATGGAGGGCCCTCAGGAGCCCGCGCGCATCTGAGCCCCTGAACCACGGGGCTGCCGCCCACGGGAGCTGCCTGGGGCATGCCAAGACTTGGAGGGCTTGCTTCTGCCTCAGCGTGCGCAAGACTGCTCCCTTCGTTTAAAATCCTGACGGCACGACCCCCACCGCTTTTAACTATTATTAACGAGACCCGCTTCGAGCATCGATCATGGAATCACAGCATAGCAGCGTTGGAAGGGGCCAAGAAGGCCATCAGGTCACACCAGGATGGTCTGGAAGCGCCGGAATAAACATACCCGAAATAATGATTCTCACAAACACCCCAGGGCCTTTTCATCCACCTACCCGCGATCACTCTCCTCGCCTGCTTCTAATGCGCTCCCCCCTTCCCTTCCTTTTCCCTCCTCTTCGCCTTTTCCCACGAGTAGGCCTCACGCCTACCCACTGCACACCACCGCCACAGCAACCATAGCAACCGCGTTCCACCGGAAGTCCTTCGCCCCAGTCGGAGAACTACTTCCGGTATCCTCCACCTCCTCCAGGAAGGCAAGAAGGCAGCGGAGGAAAATCACTAGAGTAGAGCGGAAGTTCCCTGCTAGAGCGTCGTCCCCAGGCGCCTCTTCCGGTCCTCCGTTCTAGGCACCGGTTGGCCTTCGTCAGTGGCCGGCGCGGCCGAGCGTCGTTGTCGCTCCAGCCGAAGGATTGACGGCGGCACCGGCGCGGCCGCGACCTCACAAGATGGCGGAGGCCTCGGCGGCAGCGGCGGCCGCCGTCTCTCAGCACCGCTTCTTCTGCCACAGCTGCAAGGGGGAGGTCAACCCCAAGCTGCCGGTAAGGGGGTGGGGGCCGTCGTCGTCTCTCTGTGTCCCCTCATACATTCAAAGAAAGGGCCGGGGGCGAAGGTCCCCCTGAATTGGGGGTGTGGGGCGGCCGGGAGAGGGCAGTCGGGGCTCCAGGGCCCTTCTGCGGGGGCAGTTTGAGAGCAGGACGCCTGGGTTCTCTTCGGGAAGGGGGAGGGGCTGAGGTAGGACCCTCGCCCCTGGCAGCCCAAGGAGCGAAGCCTGCAATGAGTCTCCTCTGAAGTAAGTTCCCCGGAAGCCTTACGAGATTCGTTCCAAGGAAAGTATGGGACAGGACTGCGATGTAATGGGATGACTTATTTTTAAAGGGCGCACCGGTATCCAGTCCCCTCGCTCCTCCACCCCACCTGTTATAGGAGTGTCTTGGGAGGGGGCAGCAGAGAAGAAGGGCCTTCCGCCACACGCCCCCCAAAACACTGGGGGAAGAAGGTATAAGGATCTGGGCCCCACATGTAACCCGCCTCCTGTCTCCCTAATGAATGAGGGGTCGGGATGTGGCATGGGTGGATGTCTGCTGTATACCCCAGAATCCTTTCCTCTCCCATATTCTGGGTGCAGGTTTTTATAATAAAGCAATTATTATTCTGACTAGCATGGCTATACAAAAGAATTTGCTCCTCTAAAGTCAAGAAGGTATCCAGAAAGGCAGTCTCTTTTTTTCTCTTTGACCTTTCCTCACCATGGGGTTTGGAAAAGAGGAGAGTTTGTTTGGGGAAAGTCGAACGCCATGCAGGGAGGAAGAAGGGGTTAGATGGGGATGGGTCAAGGCTAGGCTGAAACATCTGGAAGGCCACAACACCTGTGAACCACCACCATTGCTTATCTGGCTAGGACTGATGGGAGTTGTGGGCCAAAGGATCTGGAGTGCTACAAGGTGCTTGCCCTTGCATCAGGCTGCCCAAATATTGAACAGGTAAGTATGCAAATTACTGGAAGAGGGCCCTAAGCTTCTGGGTGAACATATGGTGGGGCTATGAGGAGAAGCAAGGCATGCCTGTTTACGTGCGGCTCTCTCCCTTTCAAAGAATGGCTGAGAATGGAATTCTGTATCTCATGCAGAGGTGACAGGAAGGGTGAAAGTGTGTGAGAGTGCCTTCTGCATTTGGACAAAAGAAGCAGGTCAAATGTAGGAAAGGGGTTTGAAGTCACCCTTCAGTAATTAGGAGACAGGAGAGGAACAAAGTGGCCCCCCCCCCCAAAAAAAAAAGCCAAGGAAGATTTTTATTCTGCAAAGGCAAAAGACAGGCAGGGTACCTGGTTGCACAAGGTCCAAAAATACAGTGGTAGCCGTTAGGACACTGATAATTATTTTCTTTTTTTCTTGGGGGATATATACCAGTACTTAAAAATGAAATACAAAATGTAGTCTGCATATCACATTTCAAACCCCAGCCTGCAAACTTATTATTCCGCAGAAAGACAGTTCTGATAAGGAGATCTTCAGAGTTCCACTGTAATACACTCGTGTTAGGATCTGGATGGGTGAATTTCTTAGGATGGCTAAGCAAACCTCTTTCTCCTTTCAATGAAGATTACATGCAGGTAGCCTGTTTTCTGTTTTGCCTTTGACCTGGAAGCACAGATGATTCTAAGGTTCAGTTTAGAAAGTGAAGAAAAGTGTGCAGCATATTTAATCTGGGACCAAGGATTGCTAATTAGCCTTTTTCCTGGAAGAGATAACGTGTGAGTGTCGTGTTTTTCAGGATGCAGCCCAGTATTAACTAAGATGGGATTGCTTCCTTTCTACCTGGAAACTTTCAAGCTGAGGGCTGAAGTGAAGGGATTCTGGAATGTGGTCACGCAGACACACACAATGTGGTATCTGATAGCACCAGTGCAGGTGTAATGGTGGATGCTCCTCCCAGCTTCTGGTCCCATGGTGGTGGGAGAGGAACTGGGCGTGATGCCGGATGTAGCAGACACCTGCCTTTCCGTGTTGCAGCGGTGCTGTGATTCTGCTGGGGCCAAGGAGCGGGTGTCTAAACTCATTTCTGACAGGCAAACGTAAAAGAACTTGAATTCGGCTTAGTGGGTCTGTGTCGACTCACCAGCAGGTGAATTTCATGTTTCTCCCACCTGCCTGGGCACGTGAAAAGAATGTGGGGAAGCGGGGATCAGGCCTGCTCCATTGCGCTTGGGCAGGTGGATCTTGAATTGCGAGGCTTTCTTGTCACACTGTAAGTTTGCTGTGCTGTTTGCCTTGGAGAGTGAAAGGAGAATGCAGGATGCTTTGTGGGAGCATTTGTGGCTGATTGAGGGGGTTGCAAATGGGGGGAAAGTGGAAGGGGTGAGCAGTCACTTCTTGCTGAGCACCTTAATATTCCTTGTATGGACGGGCTTGTCTCCACTGGACTCCCCTCGCCTTGCAGTGAGAGTGTGAATGTGTGGCAGCATCTTGTTCCACCCCAGTGGTGCTTTCGGTGAACTGGAGCAGTGCCCAGGCTTGGGAAAATCCCGTGTGCTGCTGTATTTTGGATGCTGTGGTGCTTTTTTAAAAAATGCCAAACAACTGTCTCCTGAAAACCATGTTTTACTTGTGAAAGACGCCTGTGCATGGGTAGCTTATATATCCCTGTAAATCCTTTTGTAAAACATTTCAAAAATGCTGGACCGGCTTGACAAACACTTAACCACCTGTGTTTCTCACTAAAAACTCCACACTGACTTCCAGAAAATGGATGGATCTTAGAAAACCGGGCGCCCGAGAACATGACCCTGACTCATGGCTGGTGGCCTTGGTGCCTTTGATTAGGAATGCTTGTGCAGGCTTGTGCGATGCAGGTAGGAACCTTCTTTTAGCTACCTGGTCCTTTGGACACCTGGGAGATGAAGTGTCTGTGTTTCTGGAAATGTCTTGGCAAAGCCCTGTATTTCCAGAAGGTCGGTGAGATTTTTGATCTCACCTTATAGCTGCACCTGCTGCTCTTTGGTTGTCTGTGCAGCTGAGGGGGCGCAAGGGAGTCTTCAGGAGGGCAGCACACCTGACGCTGCTGTCCCCTTGCTCTTGTCACAGGGGCAAGTGCCAAAACCGCACAACGGTATGTGCGGGAACAGCCCCCTCCTTGCTTTTTTTGGTGGCACTGCAAGATGCTGGCCATTAGGCTATCTAGAGAGCAGTGGTGGGCAGAGGGCAGCTGTGGATCTGCCCGTGGCTGATTCTCAGCGGATCACTTCAGATTTCTGGCTCCCAGCCGTTTAACAACAGAAGTGACAAAAATGGCTGCCCTCTCTCGTCCTGCTGAAATGAGTAAGAGGAACCAGCAGTGGGTTCTTGTGGAGGACCGTGCATGCCGTTCCCTTCATATATTCAGAACCATTTCTGCACTCCAGATTCTTTAGCCCCAAGTGGCGGGTTTTTTTCTTGGGGAGGGTGAATTCAACAAACGTCAGTTGTGATGGATTTTGGCATTCTGGTAAAGCCTCCAAAGTGTTGCTGCGAGTTTGACATCTGCCTCCCCTCTTCTAAACCCTCTGCATTTCTTCAGTCCTCCCTGCCCAGAAGCACATGCACTCCCTGCTTGTGCTGGGCTCCCTTCTCGACTGCTGACTTCGGCAGTTTTTCTGCCCTGTGTTTCAGCTGTCCTTTTGTTTCAGCAGAAACACCACTCTAAAGCCGCTTGTGGCCTTTTGCTTTCTGTCGCTGCTGTTCAGGATTTCCTGATGTCACCAATGGTGTTTCTGCAGTAGGTCAAGATCTGAGCTAGCTCTTGTTCATTTTTTGTATAGAGCAAGTATTAAATGTATCACATATAGACATAAACATTTCACAGTTCCATCTCACAGAAAATAAAGTTGCTAGACCATAAGGTTTGTACTATTAAGCTTAACTGTGGCTAATGTTTGGAAGTTGCCTGGAATACAGAAGTTTTAGTCTGCACGAGTCTTTGCTTGTCTTAATGCAATTGAATAAACTGTGCCAATAAATGAACATATTAAAACTCAAAAGAGGAATATGCTTAGTGGAGAATTTTCTTTGGTAGAGAATGCATTTGACCACACAGACAAAGACTGAGCCAAAACTTGCTATGTACTTTTGCTTTTGTTATTTCTGGGAAATGCTCACACTTCTCAGCAGCTCTCTCTGCTGCCCCACTGTCTATGAGCGGTATTCACAATCAAAACAATTCCGATCTTAGCGCAATCTGTGTAATTCCTGCTTCCTATTTCCTAACTCCAGCCTTTGATTCACTCTGGCTCCTTAAACTGCAAATTCTAATGCTAACTTGGAATAAAATAGCAGTTGAAGCTGAAATGACAAGAGGGAAGTGCTGGTCGAAGGAAGAGGGAAGCAAGCCGAAGGAGAGCCGCATTCAGATCTTGCCCAAGTCTGCTCCTCAGGGCCACTCACTCAGCAGCCTTAGGCACATTCCTCTTGGTCTTTTCTGAGAAGTGGAAGCATGAAAGGCTAGCTTTGCCCTGCTTGGTGTGAACCTGATTGACTCAATGAGGTGATTGACTCAATGAGGTGATTACTTCCTGGTCTGGTTGCGTCTCTTTCTGGGCTCCTGTCTCTGTATGGCATCAATCCAGGTGTGCAAAGAGCCAGGTGGTTTGGCACCGTGCACTGTGGCTGCTCATTAAAAGCAGCTAGAAAACACTCGGAGAGACAAGCAACCGTGATGGAACAACAGGGACGCCCGAGCCAGGGACGAGTATTGGACTTGAAACAGGGCAGGGACCTGGGTTCAAGTCCTTCCAGTATAGTAACCCTGGCACCTTCAGTGCCACAGCGTGGCTTAGCACTAGTCTCCCAGCCTCACCTGTTGGAGAGTAAATACGGGGAATGGGCAATAACGCCTGTGTGGCTTTCTGAGCACATTGGAGGAAAGGGGGAACAAAAGTAACGACTCTTGAGTATTTGGAGAACTTGGCCTGCATCATCTTGTAGAATGATTAGGCAGTGCTGTGATTCAAGTAAGCACAATTAGCATGGGAGGAAAACATGCTCCAAAGCCAGGAGGCGGTGGAGCC